TTGGCCCATTCACTGTATTTGTCTGTCATCTCTACAGTTTGAATATTCTGATATATAATAATATTTGAGCTTTCATTAAAGAGTGTCTGGCATTTATAATGGTTCTGTGGAAGCTGAGTTCTCTGATGGTTATTAGGATTTGTCCCATGGTGAAAGTTTTTCCAAGATTCTGGACATTGAAAACTTCTGTCTTCATTATATGCACTCTGGTAATGAATTATAATAGCAAAGACTTTAGTGAGGTCTGTCATTTCATTACACATGTAAAGTTGTTCCCTATTGAACCATGATGGTTATATATAGACCCTCCAAGTTTATGAAAATGCAAGACTTTGAAACAAGAAGGAATTATTTGTCTCTGGAATAATAACGAATGCTTGGTTAAGGGATTTCAAATTCATCACATTTGGAATTTCCATTTTATTTTTAAACCTGTTATTTTTAGAAATGTCTGATAAATGTTTAATTCAATACACCAGCCCTGACCAGGTTTGGCAGGCATTAGAATTTCCAGCACAGCTTATTATTTGTGTTCATAAAGCCTGGGAGCTGTGTCTATTGCTTAAATACCCAATACATTAAATGAGTCAAATGATAATTTGCATTATGAACTATTCCTTTCACAGAATATGTACCTTTAAAAAATGTCTTTATGTTCAAGTACACCATGTTCTACAAATGCAAATGACTTCAAGTGGGAGTTCCCCCAAGATATTTTATACCCTTGATCTCTTTTAACAAGAATTTTATTAACAATTATTATCCCAGTTTGGTTTTGTCTATCCTCATATCTTTTTTGCCCTTCACGCTCCCCTTCCCATTCCAAGACCCAAGGCCTCCATTGATTCCAAAGCTTACCAGTAGCATTTTGGGGAATGAATCTTCCATGCCTGGCTGTGGCAACAAATCCTGGGTTTCTTGAGAAGACATAGCTGAAAGATAACAAATTATCACACTATACTCAGGTGAATATACAGTAAAACCTTGGGTTGCAAGTAACTTGGTTTGCAAGTGTTCTGCAAGATGAGGAAACATTTCCAATACATTTTAACTTGGTAAACGAGCAATGTCTTGCAATACGAGTAGTTTGTCTCCAGAATGAATTATGCCCGCAAACCAAGGTATTACTGTACTTTAAATTCTAATGTACAGAATACTGATCAGAGGACTTGAGCAAGATGGCAGAACAGGAAGCACCAAAACTGCACTCCTCAATGTAGATGTGAAAAATTATGGATAAAATTACCAAGAATTACTGAACCAACTGCCTTTTTAAGCATACCAGAAGCTAGGTCAGAGATCACAGCATCCCCAGGAAAGCACAAAATGAGAAAGAGTCACATCAATGAAGGAAGAAAAATTGCTTGCATTTGCTCACAATAGCCGCTCACCCTATAAAATGATTGTGGGAAACCTCTCAATTCCGTTTCTTCTCCTGAAAGAAATAAATGAGTGTCTTTTACGTTTAATGATCTGACTTTTTTGCAGCTGCCTGAGGAAATTGTTTCTGTTTTGTATGACACACATTGCTAAAAAGTACACTGTGAATGCATTGTGGCGAAGAAAATGAGTTAAATTGTTCAAACATCACTGCGACTGCTGTAGTGAGAACAGACACGAGGGATAAGAAAATATCATGGGCATAAAGAAAAAACAAAACAATTAAAACTGGAAAAACACATATAGATAACACAAAGAATAAACATCCCCAACAGAGGTCTGGCACCCCTTAAAATTCCAAGCAGAGCCGATAGCTATTCATGTTCTTCTGTACAAAGAAAGTTCATAAAGCCTGGGAACAGTAGCTGTTTCTTAAATACCCTAACCTCAAAACAAGATCACAAGGTGTACAAATAAACACAAAAACATGGTGCAGGGAAATAAAGTAAATCTCCAGAAACTGGCCCAAAATTAATGAAGACCTATTAATTACCTGACAAACATTTCAAAATACCTATCTTAAAGGTGCTCAATTGGGAAATAGAGAAAACACAGACACAACTAAATGTCAAGGAAACAATGTATGACCAAAATGAAAATGCAGAGACAGAGAGTATGAAAAATAACCACAAAAATTGGAAGCTGCAGAATACAATGCCTGAATTTTAAAACACAAAGCATCAGCAACAGACTTGATCAAGCAGAATAAAGGGTCAAACAACTTGAACACATTTCATTTTAAATTGTAGGTGTAGAGAAGCAAAGAAACTTCAAAAAATGAAGACAGCTTAAGGGACTCATGGGGTATCAACAACACGACCAATATACACATTAAGTGGATTCCATAAAGAGAGGATGAGTAAAAAGCAGAAGACACTTATATGAAACATGGCTGAAAATTCCCACATTTGAAGAAAGAAAGAGACATACAAATTTAGGCAGATCACTGAATTCTATGGAGGATGAATGGAAAAATATCAACAGGCACATTATAATCAAACTATCATGAATCAGACAAAAACTAAATATGGGGGCCGGCCAAGTGGTGCGTTGGTTAAGAGCTGGCTTGGGATACCAGCTCTGAGCAGCAGGGACCCAGTTCGGATCCCACATGAGAGCCAGTGACACTGCGCCCTCTACAGCTAAGATGGTGAACAACAGCTCGACCTGGTGCTGGACTGCTGTGAGTCGCTGGCAATAGCGTAGGCTGCAGCCCCTGCTGCAGTGGGCTGCCATAAGCTACTGTGTGTGGCTGGCAGCCAGCGTGAGCGGCCGGTAGCCAGTATGACCTGCCAAGAGCCACCGTGAGCGGCCGTCCAGAGGCCGGCGACCAATCTGCCTCACCTGGAAAGAGCGCAATAATAACACCAACAGGGTTGCAGGTTTGATTCCCTCATGGGCCAGTGACCTGCACTCTTTGCACCTAGATTGAAGACATCGACTTGAGCTGAGCTGCCGAACACTGGATGGCTCTGTTGGTTAGAGCACATGCTCTTAACAACAAGGTTGCTGGTTTGACTACCACATGGAATGATGGGCTGTGCCCCCTGCAACTAGATTGAAAATGGCAAATGAACTTGGGGCTGAGCTGCACCCTCTACAACTAAAATTGAAGGACGGCAACTTGACTTGGAGCTGATGGCTCCAGGGAAAAACATACTGTTCCCTAATTAAATCCTAAAAAAAACACACTGTTCCCATTCCGCAATAAAATCTTTAAACAAACAAATAAAAAGCAATAAAATGTTAAATCAACGTCACACAACATAAAAGATTTAACATGACACCAATGACATAGTCCATACAGGGATGGATAAAGTAAGTAGTAGGTTTTGCAATGACAGTTTAAAATATAGCATTATAACTTTAAAATATTGTAAGTAATCCTCATTATAACCACACACAAAAAGTAAAATGATTTCTCATGACTGATGACAAAAATTTTATATTAGAAAACCCTAAAGAATGCACATTCACAAACACACACACACAATCCAAACAAATGTGGCAAAATTCAGGATACAACAGCAACACATAAAAATTAGTTATGTTTCCCTCACAGATTTTACATGTCTATACATATTTCATTTTAAGATTTCAATGACAGATACACAGGAAACATAGGTCTCTTTCTGCTGAGTGGTCCTTGTCTGCACACTTCCTTGCTATCTGCCTGGTAAATCTGTAGCTGGTACCCCCAAGGCAGTCGACAGCCTAAGCACAGGCTGAGAACACGTGTGTGAATTCATGCTCATGCCACTTGGGGAACAAGCCTGGATTTTTCTTCCAGGTCTCACCCTGTGTGACATCTGTTTTAAAGCTGCTAACTGGAACTAGCAAATCCAATTGGTCACATTTCACTAAAAACCATTTCTTTCTAGTGACATCTGCTTATGGAAAAACCCAAATGGAGTCCAAAAGTTTAATGCATCCTTGCCTTTTTAGCAAGAGATCCAGCTACTTATAAACTGAGTGTTTATAAGGAGGCCTAAAGACACACACGAAAATTGAGTCATTTTACTTTGACCCTGAAATTATACCAAATGCTATCCTATAATCTACTGTTGGAAATGGTGTATTAGCCAGTTATAGGTACTAAATAAAGCGAGGACATTGTTTCTAAATTTCATTCCGGTGATGCAAAAAAAAGGGGGACCAGGTGACTTTTAACAAAAAACCTGATCAAGGCCGGCCAGTGGTGAATTGTGTAAGAGTGGGTTGGGACACCTGCTCTCAGTAGCAGGACCCCGGTTCAGATCCCACATTAGGGCCAGTGATGCTGCACACTCGACAGCTAAGATGCTGAACAACAGCTCAACCTGGAGCTGGGCAGCCATGAGTCGCCGGCGACGGTGTAGGCTGCAGCCCCTGCTGCAGTGGGTTGCCATGGGCTACCGTGTGTAGCCAGCAGACAGCGTGAGTGGCCAGAAGCCGGGGACATACTGTACATTAAACTGTTATAACATTGAGGAATTGAGACATATAGACTTGAAATTACTAATGTTACTTCATACAAAACAAAAGGACATTTTGAAGGGAAACAGAATTAGATTTTTCTCATTTAAGTGAGGTGCGCTGTGCTGTGATGACATAGTACTGAGTCTGTGCTTTGTAGGGTCAAGATTGAAGCCTCAATAGGATTGAAAATTATACAGCAGAACATATGACATCCATCCCCAGTGTTCCTGGGATTTCTGAACCAACTTCCAGTATCTCAACCAATTTCTTCACAAATTACTTACATGATGAAAAATCAGAATTTAAACAATGTCTTAACAGGTTTCCTCAGCAATTTACACAAGACATTCCCAGGCCTGCAAAGCAATGGAAGAGTAGCTGAATCATGCCGGCCCACACAGTCCAAGGGGAGGACTTTGCCTCTCACTGCCAGTGCGATGTGATATCACTGGAGCAGAAGCAAAATCCTCAGAGGATGGAACAACATCAATAAACCTGGCCTTCTCAAAACTTATTTCCATTGACTGTCTTCTAAAACCATATTTTAAGGTCTGGCTTCCTCCATGACCTCTGGACCTCACCTGGGCCGTCATCTGCTTCCCTCATTCCCACCTACCTGGGTGGACGGATATCGTCTTTTTTCTCTTCAAATCCCAGGGCTCCTTCATTTCCTCTAAAAAGGTGACCAGGTCTAGATGAAAGACTGCAAATCCTGTTTATCACAAAAAGGAACATGTGTTTTGATGGAGATTTTCCAATTTCCAAAGCAGTATTGTGCTCAACTGAGGAGAGGGCATTGTAGAATATTAGAACATTCCAGAAAATGATTTCCCAAAATATTGTTTTCTGACAGCACCTTTATTAAACTAGAAAACATTAAAGGTTTTTCAGATAATGAGTTTTACTTCCAAGTACTCAGTTTTACTCAGTTTTACTCAGGAAGCCTTCCTTTTGTACACCTGCAAATCCACAATTTCTTCCCTGAGAGCAGGGATCTATAACTCTATCATACAAATCAGAAGCTCCCAGGTCTCGAGACGTTCTATTAATGAGGAAACAAAACTGTTTCAGAGGAGTAGGAATCCTGGAAGTAAGTCATCCTCACCCAGGGAGACCAGGTTCCTGTAGTTCTCCAACATCACGTCCATGTACAGTTTCCGCTGAGCTGGGTCCAGCTCTTCCCATTCCTCGTGAGAGAATTCTATGAACACATCCCTGAAGGTCAACAGTCCCTGAAAAAGACACGTTTACCAAGTGGCTACAGGCAGTTAACAGAACTGTTTTTGACCTAGGAAAGGGTCCTGAAATATCAAATAAGTTAATTTTTGACACAATACTATTCCTTAATGTGTTTTCTAACGCTGAGAAAAGAGGATATATGATCCACAAAATGTAGAAGCTTTACTTTTCTGAAAGATAAATTGTAAAAATTAAGGAGTTCACTGAGGAAATCCGGTTTTGAGTGTTGCATCACAGATGATAAAGAATATTTATATCTCAGGGGGAGGAGTCAGGTGAGTTGGAAGGCTAAAATACTTCTCAAATTTTAATGTGCATAGGAGTAGATTGGGGATTCTGTAAAAATGCAGATACTGATTCACAACTTCTGGGGTGGGGTATGATTTTCCACATTTTTTAACAATCTCATGTTTAAATAGCAACACCAATGTCTCCAGTCCATGTACCACATTTTTTAATATCACAGAGAAGGAAAACAGAGGGAAAATTTCATACGGGATGTCAAACTAAAACAATTTTATGGAATTTACAGGTCTCATGAAACAGTAGACATAGCCATCATAATTTTCTTTGGAATAGAATCTTAATATATATATGGCGGTCAAGATGGTGGAGTACGAAAACTCTATGCTTGCCTCCTTCCACAACCACATAAAAATTACAACTAAACTACAATACAACCATCATTGAGAACTGCCTGAAAACTAGCTAAACAGAAGTCCCACAACTAAGGATATAAAAAAGAAGCCACATCAAGACTGGTAGGGAAGCGGGGGATGCAGAATGGGCTGGTCCCATTCCCATGCATGGTGGTTAAGGATCAGGAGGAATATCTCAGTGTGGAGGATCCCATGAGGAGAAAGGGGTCCCAGCCCCACACCAGACTTCCCAGCCCAGGAGTTCACTACTGGGAACAGAAGTCCCCATGACTTCTGGCTGTGAAAACCAGTGGGGACTGTGGCTGAGTGAGACACAGGGCTACTGAAGTCCCATGCGGTGCTCTTAAAGGGCCCACGCGTGAACTTACTCACTGATGAACTCACTCATGCTGAGCTCCTGCAATGGGGTAGCAGATCAACAGGTACCAGGGACATGAATTGTCTAGCTTCACGTGAGTACAGGGCATCTGCCAGGCGCCACTGTTCCTTTGTTGAGCCCTTCCCCCACACAGCAGGCAAGTGGGAACCGTTGTTCCTGGGATCGGGCTGCTATTGTTGCTTTGTTGAGCCCCCTCCAACCACACAGCCTGCAGGCATGGGCAGGGGACAAGTCTGTGTCTCCATCAACCTGGCTAATATACGTTCACCATGCCCTTATGATTCCAAGACTCCACGCCACCCAACGTGTGGACCCACCCAACATGTGGCTCCACCTAAGGGGCTCCAGTGCCTTTTCCATAGAAATGGCCCATCATAATTTGTGCTGCAGACTTTCCTAAATTCTTGTAAAGGTCCACAAACAAGCAGCATCTGGTCTCAGTGTGCCCTGTACCTCCTCCTAAGTGGTCCCAAGCCCAGCACTAGGGACAGCATGACTCAGTTTGCACTTAGCCTCTCCCAAGCGCCTCCAAGCCCAGCATAAGCAGCAACCATCTGCAGATTACTCTGTAGCTCTTACCAGGTGGCTCTGGGCTGGGCACAGGCAGAACTTGGTCTGCACGAGAGCTCCTTCCAAAAGGCCACTGAACCTACACACCGTGAGCCTAGCTTCAGAGTTCACCTGAGTACCACCCATCAACCTGAACAAACGACACACCCGAAGCATGAACTCAGCAGGAACCCATGCCACACTGAAACAAAAACTATTCCATGGGGTCAACCCATGCACAACAGCTCATCCAGCTATTCCAGTCAATCAGCCCTAGGATCAATACCTCCCACTGATATGCCACAGCAATCAAGGCTCAACAATAAAAGGGGAGCACAAACAATCCACACGAGGGAAACACTTAGAGCACCTGGGTCAGATGACCAGGGAGATTACGTGACTGGGCCTGACAACTCCTACATAACCCCACTCTACCATGACCAGGAGACGTGCCAGATCTACCTAACACATAGCAAAAAAAAAAAATAAATAAAAGCAAGACTGCCAAAATAAGAAAGCAAAGAAACATATCCCACATGAAAGAACAGGACAAAACTCCAGAAAAAGAACTGAAAAATTAAAAAAATAAAAAACAGCCATCTACCACATACAAAGTTCAAAACAATGGTTACAAGGATGCTCAATGAACTCAGGGAAAGAGTAGACGAACTCAGGGAGAACTTTAACAAAGAGACAGGAAACAAAAATGAACACAGAAAATATAAAAAAGAACCAGCCAGAAATGTAGACTACAATAACTGAAATGAAAAATACACTAGAGGAACGCAACACTAGATTAGATGAGGCAGAGGACTGAGTCAGCGATTTAGAAATGAAGGTAGCAAAAAACAGCCACCCAAACAGAATAGGAAAAAGAATCCATAAAAATGACAATAGCTTAAGGGGCCTCTGGGACAACATCAAGAGTACCAACATTTGCATCATCGGGGTACCAGAAGGAGAGAGAGAACAAGGGATTGAAAACCTATTTCGACAAATAGGACTGAAAACTTCCCTAACTTGGCAAAAGAAATAGACATACAACCCTAGGTAACGCAGACAGTCCCAAACAAGATAAACCCATAGAGGCCCACGACAATACATATCATAATCAAATGCCATAGATAAACAACAAAGAGAGAATCTTAAAAGCAGCAAGAGATAAGCAGCTAGTTACCTACACAGGAGCTCCAATAAGACTGTCAGCTGATTTCTCCACAGAACCTTTGCAGGTCAGAAGGGACTGGCATGGAATATTCAAAGTGAAGAAAAGCAAGGACCTACAACCAAGATTACTCTACCCAGCAAAGCTATCATTTAGAATTGAAGGACAGATAAAGATTTCCAGATAAGAGATAGCTTTCTTTAGCAAAGGAGTTCACAACCACCAAACCAGTATTACAAGAAACGTTAAAGGGACACAGGCTCTGGGAGAGAGAGGGAGAGCATGAAGAGTGGAGAAAAGGATCAAAACTAGGAATAATAGCAATAATCGTCAGAAAAGTCATGATGCCTTTCTCCAACGAAAAACAGATACAAAAGTCATGACTTTTCTGACAACCCAATACATACCTAACTGTAATTACTTTAAATGTATTAAATTCTCAAATCAATAAAAATAGGGTGG